GAAGCCGGTAGCGCTTGGGCAGCCCTTTTCGCGTGGCTGGGAGGGAGGAGGGGGAGTTAGGGCGGGGACTTTGGGGAATGGGCGGAGTTAGGGCGGGGGTGGGGGTGGGTGGGCGGAGTTGGGGTGGGGCCGGGGTGGGAAAGGGGCAGGGCCAGGGCCCCGTGGAGTGTCCTCTTTTTTTATTTTTTAAATCTGGTAACCCTAGCTAAACCAGCTTTAGGGCAGCTATTCAGCAGCCGAGTGGGGAAAAGCTCCCCTAATGCAGCCCAAGAATGTACAAAGTTCATAACAACTACATTTATATCCAAAATCTTTGTGGGATAATTGTATATCCTTAAGTATTTATTAGTGGCAAATACAATCTGGCATTGCCTATGATATTTCCAATGTAGATCTTTTCTACAGCTCATAAGTGCTTTACTGTTATTTATTTAGATATGAAGAACACTATTTTACATGGTCGCTCTCCTAAGGCGCTTAAAATCTAAAGAGGCAAAACAGATATGAAAGATAAGGAAAAGCTTCAGTGGTGCAACTGGTTAGTGCAAACGGGAATATTGCTGGGGTTTTGAGTTCAAGCCTTACCTGGAGCACTTGTTTCTATTACCTGTGTAGTTTCCCCAACTTGCTTTGCCTAATTCATATGGAAAGTGCCATATTAGAAAAAGGAGAATAAGTTCTAAAATGTGGAAGTGGGTGCATAGCTTGGAAACATCCACCCTGTGCTGCCATTAATTCCAGTAGATTGTTCACTGGCAGGGCAAATTGACTTATGGAGGGAGGGGATAGCTCAGTGGTTTGAGCATTGGCCTGCTAAACCCAGGGTTGTGAGTTTAATCCTTGAGGGGGCCATTTAAGGATCTGGGGCAAAAAAAAAATTGGTCCTGCTAGTGAAGGCAGGGGACTGGACTTGATGACCTTTCAAGGTCCCTTCCAGTTCTATGGGATACATATATCTCCATATATTATTTACTGTATTTAACCAAGATTTAAAAAGAATCACCCATTATTCAATGTCTCCAGATATCATTTGGAGTAATATGTTTATGCTGTATAAAGTATCTTAAAAGGGATACTTAAGCAGTCTAAGTACAAAGTAAAGTTTTTATTGGGAGGGATATCAATAATGAATCAAGTTATTAAAACACCGAAACATGGAAATGGAAATGGAAATATTGCCCTTGAGCTTTTTCAGCCCAAACACAACACTGTGCTAGAAATATGACACATAAATTATTATAAATGGCCCATCTAGTTTCATTGTCCGTGCTCAGTGAAATGCAAAAAATAAACATAATAAATGTCTAAAATAAATGATTTTTTACAATTCTTTCATTTTTAATAATGAGTGTTTGCAGTAATTTAGACAAGCGATATTATGATATATATGACAAATGTATTACTTGAATCATCTGTGCTCCTTCAACCTTCAAATCATTTAAATACCATTAAAATATAACCCATACAAAACAAATTAAGAATCTTTTCACTTTCTGTTAGCAGAGTTCAGAATGTCAGAAAAATCTGTGGCCTTGAAAATGAAACATCAAAATACCATATTTTATATTTCACTTGGTATTATTATCTAAACTTACAGGATGTAGGTGATTATTCCCAAAGACCACATGTCCACCTCTGGGCCATAAGCACATCCACGTAGAATCTCTGGTGCTGCAGATGATAAAAACATTGTCACTAGAGCAAAAGTTTAATGCAGAAATAAATAATACTAATAAAGGTCATGAATTTCAAACATGTCTGACTTCTTAACTCAGAATGTAATTGCAATGTGTCCTCTTCGAGTACTGTAGAACAAATAGGGCCTGACCTTGAAAGTCTTTACTTAGGTAAAACTCCCATTCATTGAGTAAAGAGCAACAGGAATTTTCCCTGAGTAAGGACAGCTGGCATGGACCCCTAACTTGTAAAGTCAAGAGTGCAATTTAACTTTGATCTCCAATCTGATTTTAGAGAAGGAACCAGATCCATGAAAGGGATAATGGGCAGCTACAGAAGTACTGTAGCTTGAGTTTTACTGACTACATGACATTTGTATTTTTTTTTAATAGTTCCAGTAATTCTGAAGTCAAGTTGCCTCTATAATTAAAGCTGAAACCCTCTCCATTACAAGTCATATTTCAGACCCCATCCATGTCTCTCTCTGCCCAAATCTATTTGTGCTAGATTTTCTCATGTTCAGTCTCCCATGGGAGGAATAGGGTGCTGTTAACTAAAGACTGACACTCTTGGGCGTGGAAAGCTGCAAGAAGGATCACTCCAGAGTCAAGAACTTTTCCTTGAAAAAGCCCTATTTCCCAACTCAAGGAGTTCAACCCTGGGAACAGACAGCAAGATCATTCCAGTCAATTGCAATTGCCACAGTAGGGCACAGGGGAGAGGCAGTCTCTGAGGAGACTCACAATTCTGAAATAGCAAAGAGAAGCCATTATTCACCAGAGGAGCTCAACCCATGGATGATGCTGAAGAATAGCCAAGAGCATGATGTGTGCTTCATGTAAGATATGCACTTGAAGCCTATGCGTGATATGAGATACATACTCCTGTTGTTATGCACACACCTGCATGCACACTATATATGCCATGACATGCCTCCTTGAAAATACCCCTCTTTTCCCCATAACTTTCAAACGTTTTGTGTTTTCCCCACTCCCTGATAAGTTTCTGATCAGCCCTGTCAGCTGTTGTACTCCCCTGAACACCATTATCAGAAGCCTCTGACTCTGCCAGCTGCCAACCAGCCATATCTTCCTGGGGCAAAGTAGCCTAATATCAGCAGGGGGAGCCAAATCTCACAGTGAAGTAGAGGAACACAACACTTGACATGATGCAAAGATGAGACCCACCCACCCCTTTCCCTCATCCCTTGCCACACCAACCTTGAATTTGCCCTCTTCTGAATATGCACTGCAATATTGTCCTCCGTGAGGCCTATGGGCTGGAATAGTCCCTACTGGCTCTCCTAAAAGGGAGCTCCCAGTCAATGGATTTGCAAGAGCAAGAAGATAGTGAAATCTCTCTGGGTCCATTCCAACAGTCCCTTATTCATCCCTCCTCCTCCCACCCCATGGGGTAAAGGGGATAGAGTCCCCGGAGGACTACTTTGCTACACTCACAGCCTCCTGCACAGGCGAGTTTATGTGGCACAGAAGGCTTTGTGAAGATCCTCTGAACTTGGATGAATTTCACCGATAGTGCTATTATAGCATACTTTTAAAAAATACCATTTCCAGGCAAATGATAGAGAACAGCTAACACACCGACTTTATATGTTATATTTATGACAAGCTGAAAGTCATTCTTTGTAGTTTGTATAATTTTTATGTAAACTGTCATTTTGATTCTCCCATGGAGGCAAACCAATATCCTCCTGCAGACAAGATGCACGTGAGCAGTAAGACTTTCTGCAAAGCTATAGCAATTAAAATATGGAGACTGAATCACCGAGACATCCTGAATAGCAAAATGCTCATGGCACTTACTTTGTGCTAAGAGAGGAGGAGGAAGAGAACAAACATACAAACACATATCTTGTATAACTTATATCAGAACCAAATGCCAGATCCACACTAAGCCCATCTCTATGCGGGATTACTTAAGAAAGTTAAGGAGAGTCAGCTAACGGTATGAGGTCAACACACATCAATTAAAGCATGTTAAACCCCTGTGTGGCTGCTCTGATTCAAGAATAATGTGGCTTTGGGTCTCTGTAATTAATCCTTCTCCAAATCCTCCAAAAACTGTACTTTTGCCAGGGTAGTTTGTTTTGTTTGGTGGGGCTGGAATCAGCTATAATGGCAAAAGCCCAGTTTTGCTGGTATTAGCTGCATCTCTAGCAATGCTTTGCTGTTTCAGTATACTGGATTAGCATTACCACTTTAGCACTTCTGGTGCAGACCTGACCTAATTTGTCTTGTCCCAACCCCAGAAAGATGCACTATTTTTCCTCCTCTCTCTTGGGCTCTATGGAACTTCAGGAAATTCAGTACTAGGAGTTTCAATAACATTTACCCAACTCTTGTAACTTTATTGTGACTATCAGAGGTTATTCTTACTTTCTCTCCAAAGAGTTGTTATGGCTGGGGTGGGATTGGGATGAGCTCCCAACACCTATAAGATGTTTATAAAAGGCCAATGTCTAGGATGGCCTCTGACAGCCAAACTCCCCGTCACTTGTCTTCATGTGGCGCAGATGTTTTCATTAAAAGTGGGGTGTGTGAAAGACAGGCACCTGGTGTCTTTAAAATAACAAGACAGTTCAAGGCAGCCTACCTAGGAGAATGAAATCTCTGATCTCAAGCCCCCATCCATGGGTTAAATGAAGCCCGGCATTGGGTAGTGGTGACACCAGCACTGCCTGTTGATGATCCACCAGGTTTATGACAACAAGGTGGGAAGAGAGTGGGCATGTACTTAATCTAACTGGGGAAAGTTCCTCTCACTATGAAGTGTGTCAGGGATGGCAACTGATATGCTAGAGACTGGATATAAGGAGGGGTGAGGCTGGCCTGTATGCCTCCTGCCAGGGACTACTGCTAATGATCTTTCTGCCCTCTGCCAGAGGTTCACCCACTTCAAGCCTGGCAACCCTGGGCCAATAGGATTTCTGGCAGCCAGTGTCTGAACTGCCCTCTAGAGGGTCAGAGGACCAGTGGTCAGAGCGAAGAATCAGACTAAAAGCAGTGACCTGCAAAGCCAAAGAAGCCCCATATTTCAAAAGTGGCAACACTGGGTATATCCAGTCTGACGTGTAAAGGTATAGAAGTCACTGATGTGATGGATGGGGAATGCAGCGAAGGGGTTGGCCTTAGGTTTTAAACGCTCTTATGCAGGTGACAAAAAGGGAGCATAACAAAGTGTGGGTGGCAGGGAGAGGAAAGCTGAGGAAGATGGTGTGTGTAGTTATTAGAGTAAGTGATAGACTGATGGCTGTTAACAATTAAAAGTGTGTCATGTTTCTGATATCAGTGTAGGCATCTCAGCCCGGACGTGATGAAGAGGAGGAGACTTCCTACCAAGATCTGCAGGTGTTAGCAGACACAGCAGCCCCCAAGGAGCTGCTGGTGGTGCTGGGTGATCTGAATGCACAAACAGGCAGAAACAAAAGAGGCTATGAAAGGTGTTTGGGAAAATGCAGCCTAGGCACTATGAATGATGGAGGGAAAATGCTACTGCATTGCCAAACAATGGATGATAGCCAATACTTGATTCCAAAAGAGGGTGTGTCAGTTGTTTATGTACATCAGTGGTGGAAACAAAAGCCATATGATGTTGGTGAGGAAATCTCAATGGAGTCGAGCTATGGGCTGCAAATCGATACCTAGTGAGATGGTAGCACTGCAACACAAACCTCCCGTGGCAATAATTGTGGTAGAGTGCTGGACAAGGAGGAATTAAGCTCAAAAGAAAGACAATTTAAATACAGAAAGTTAAGAGACGTGCAACAGAGAAGTTTGTGCAAAAAGTACAGAATGTGTGTCCAAAAACTGATTTGCCATCAGCTGACAAAGAGTAGAACCACCCCAAAAGAATGTACATTGTGGAAGTGAAAAAGATTTGTGGATGATGTAGATGGGGAAAACCAATAGCAAGAGAGAAGTAGCAGTGGACTGTGATCCAAAACAAAACAAACACAAAAACAAAGCACCAAGAAAAAGAAATGAATCCATTGCTGGAAATAAAAACAAATACAAAGAAGCTGCCAAGTGGGCAGTGAAAAAGGTCAAATAAAGTGCCCTAGATGATCTGTATGCTGAGCTTGTAAATGACTCACAGGCGGCTGGCAAAAAGACATACGGTACTGCAAAAATTAGATGCAAATGTGGGGAGGATGATATTGCACATCATTTGTAAATGATGATCGGGGAGACTGCTACTAACACCTGAACAAGGAAAGGAGAGGAGGAAACAATACTTCGAGAGTCTCTTAAATGAGGCAAATCCCTTTAGGATGGAGTTGCCAATATGTGATCCAAATGAAGGGGACCTGATGAGAAGAAGATTTCAAAATGAAAGTATTAGGATGGAAGTCCAAGTCCATGCTGTGGCTGACAAAATCCAAGAAGCACAATGTCACTGGTTCAGACACATGCAGAGCATGAATGAAGGGGACCTGATGATCATAGCATGGCAGGAGAGGATGGTAAGAAAGACTCCAAAGAAAGCTATCAAAGTGATGGATGAATTGCATCAAAGAATATGGTAAGCAGGTGGACCTTAGTGCTGCCTTGGACAGACGAAGATGGAGGATGCTTGCACGACCCAACCCTAATTGATGGGATAAGGGAAAAAAGAAGGGTTACTGGTCTGAAGCTTTGCTAGTCTGTTGGAGCAATTGTGGTATACAGTACAGAGCATGGGACAAGCAATATAGTACTCGAGGTTTAATCCTGGGTCTGCAACCAATTCCCTCTGTAGCATTGTGTACATTACATAACCTCTCTCTCTCCCTCAGTGTTTGTCCTCTAGGAACAGAACTGAGACCACTGGCTCATTTCACATAGTGCACCAAAAAGATGGCCATCACTACATACCAGGGACAATAAAATGGGGATAACATTTCCTTATCCTACAGGAGTGTTGTGAGGGGAGTTAGGGGTTTGTACAACCCTCTGAAGATGTAAAGTGCCAAATAAATGCCAAATTCTGCTGAA